TGATCGAAGCGCTATTGCTGTATTGCAAATAATTTTGTAAATTCAGCTTGTTTTGTAATTGTTCAAACCGTGAATCCGTACTGATCGAAGCACTATTGCTGTATTACAAATAATTTTCAATTCGATGTGAATAGTTGTTTTTTTTTGCTGCTTTTTCTTGTTTTTTTTTAGAAAGTACACTTGTAAACACGAAGCAAATTTACCGAAAAAAAAAAGGGAATAAAGTGGGCTTTGTACGCCACGGGGGATGATCTTCAAGGGCCCTTTAAACTCATCCTCGATTTCTAACAAATCCTTCTAACAAATATAAATTGCAGAAGTTCCCACAATGTTATCACATAACTCAGCAAATATATACTTAGCAAATATACCTTAGAAAAGTACAAGCTTAATCCAATCAATCATAACAGTTTTGATAAAACTATTCAATATATTTTCTATAAAATTATTGTCTAAATAATTGAATTTTTTCAAGTATTTTATGTTATCGTTTCTATTAATTGTTTCTTTTTTTATTTCAAAAGTTGATAATTATTGACTGAATTGATCTGAACTTAAAAAACAGTTGAATTTTGATGATTATAATTGATAAATTTTATTTTTCTGAAATAAATTTAATGTGAAAGTACAAGAAATCTTTGAAATTAGATTTAGATTTGAAACTTTGAATTTTTTTATTAGCAATTTGAAATTATTTCCTAAAAATAGTATGATTTTATATATAATACTATAGGTTTTTTGTATATGATAGGAATTTGGGAAAATGGATTGCGATTGTAAATAATGTTATGTAATTAGATGTTAATGCCTTTTAAAATAATCGTTAACAGCTTGAGTTGTGAGTGGACGTCGTAATAGAATCGTTTATCGCCCCAAAATCGTAATTCGATACTGGCCCTTTTCAATGCGGATACACGAGAGCAGCAGAAGCTACAGACAATAAAGGTGGCATTTAACACGTCGTTAAAAAGTCCCTTCCGCCGATGATTAAAAGGCTTCAAAGGTCGTAGCCAGCAATTTACGTTGGATACTGCGATGTCGAAGATTTACGAGCCCTTCAGGACAGATAGAAATCAGTTGCTCGTAAGGGATGCAGCAACAGAAATATGATGTGCACATAGAAGAGAGAAAAAAAAAATTATATAATCCAATATGAAAGGTTTCGGGGAGAGGGGCTTAATTGTAGCAATAAATATGTATTTGTGGAATAATTCGACTGCGTTAAAACTTTGTGCAAACAAGGAAAGGGAAACGTTTTGTATGGTGCGCAATAAATAACGAGAGGAGGAATTAATAATTCCCAAAGAGAAGAATGAGAGAAAAAGTAGAGAGAGGAACGGACGGGCCTTGGGCAAATTAATAAGACCATTGTTATCCTGAAGGAGCAACAAATTTGTTTGCTTAGTTGCATATTATGTAATGGGCCTGTGTTTGCTCGCTGCCGGTTTTCCGAAAGAGAAGAGGGATGCAGATCGCAGGGGGCGGAGTGTCCAAAGCACCCTTCGTAAAGTTATGGTTAGGTGGTGGGGTATTGCGCCTATATAAAGTTGTGGTAGTTGCAAGGGTGAATCATTCCGGTTTCGAATACCGTTTAAAGTGCACTTACCTACCTTTTAAGTATTAATCGTTCGATCGTCGGATCCAGTGAAAATGTCTCGTTCGTTCTTCGTCGATTCCATCATCAACAGCGGCAACTCCGAGATCCACAATTTCGTGCCGCAAATGGATCCGAGGATGTTCCAGTACACGCCGAGCTACATCAACAGTTTCTTCTTGAGCTTGCAACAGCAACAGCAGTTGGCTCTGTCCGCTCATCCTCTGAGACCGATACCGCAGATCGCGAAGAGGAGAGCGCCGAGTCCGATTCCTGAAGCGATTTCGCCACCGTGCAAGGTGCGCGCCGTCTCTCCGCAGACGACGCCGACGACGAGCAGAGAATCGAGTCCGACGCCACCGTCGTCGCAGGATCAGTCCAGCAAAAGGATCCGGACTGCGTTCACCAGCACGCAGCTCGTCTCGCTCGAAAGGGAATTCAACGCGAACAAATACTTGTCGCGTTTGCGAAGGATCGAGATCGCTCGTGTTCTTCAGCTGTCCGAGAAACAAGTGAAAATCTGGTTCCAGAACAGAAGGGTTAAGCAGAAGAAGGAATCTTCTCCTGCAGTTTCTACACCAGGTCCGAGCTCATCGCCGTGCCACTGCTCGAAATCTTCGTGCAAAGATGACGACGACGAGCACATCGATGTTACCAAAATCGAATAGGAACTATTTATGCAGTAGACAACAACAACACGTGATAATTTAGAAAAATGTACATAAGTTCTTTTTTTTTTTGATACTATTTACCTTTTCGAAAGAATTAGATTTTAAGCTGAAGAATATTTAATATTTTTTTATCTAACTTATATATTGTAAATAATACATTTTTATATACGACTTGTTAATATATCTTTCATATTTATATACCATAAAACCTTCTATCCCAAAATTGTCCCAAAGTTCACACCTTATGCACATTTGAATATTAACGCAATCGTTTCACATTATAGTGATTTTCTCGAAAACTATAATAGATTGAATGAATCCGAAAGATGCGTATGAAAGTTTATAGTTTGGTGTATGTAGACTATTCACACATTGCTGTGACTTGATCCATTAATTCGCGTTCAAATTTTGAAAACTAATCAACACACTCAAAAAAAACTGGTGTTTTCACAATTTCGTGATTTTCTCAGAAACTATGACTTGTTCAAACTTGAAAAAACTCTCAAAAAAGCAGTGTTTTCACATTTAATTGATTTTATCGAAAACTATAATAGAGAGAATGAATCCAAAAGATGTATATGAAAGCTGAATGTTTGGGAAATCTAGCAAATATTGATATATTACTGTGGTTATAGCCGTTTGGCTGTAATTCGCGTTCAAACTTGAAAAAACTCTCAAAAAAGCAGTGTTTTCACATTTCATTGATTTTATCGAAAACTATAATAGAGAGAATGAATCCAAAAGATGTATATGAAAGCTGAATGTTTGGGAAATCTAGCAAATATTGACATAAAATGTATCCTAAAAATGAATATGAAAGCTGGATGATTATAGCAAGTATACATTTCTATTGGTTCATCAATTTGGCTGTAATTCGCATTCTAATACGTATAATACAAAAACTCAGGACAAGTAACTTATGCAATAACGTTACGTACAATGTGTAAAAATAAGGACTTTTCAAATAATAAATGACAAAACTTATATAATTGCAATATTTCTAAATTATTTACTTATCAAATATATATACGGTTATTGAAATACTCTACATAATACGCATTTAATTTACGCAAGTACAAGTGTTTACTTGACATGTAATTTGGATTTTAAAAGGACAATAATTCATTGAAATTATTAAAAGTAAATGAAGTACGTGACACGTGAAAATGAATGCATGCAAATTTGATTTTTGTTCGTTAACAATTTTATTTGGAACAAAATATTTTTTTAAATTTTCGTTTCATTCATTGATTTAGTGCGCTCGTACAATATATGTTTTTCATTTTAACAAAGTTATTTATTTAACATCAAAAATAATGGATTCAAAGAAATACCAGGATGATCAAGATGATCACTTTGAGATACATGAACAGTCACCGACCAAACAGATAGTGAAGACGAAGAGTACACCTAGTCCTAGCATACATCATGTAACACCGACCAAACTGAAGACGAAGACTATTTTCAGCTGTCCGAGAAACAAGTGACAATCTAATTTCAGAATAGAAGGATTAACCAGAGGCAAAGATTTCCTCTTCTTGCTTCAACATCCTCTCCAATGTATTGCCTTCCAAATCCTCCAACATCTAAATGTCTATGCGAAGATGAAGTGGATTCAAATAGATTCCAGAACGATCAAGAACACTTTGAAATACAGGAACAGTTACAGGAGAAACAAGCTGTCCGAGAAACAAGTGCAAGTCTGGTTTCAGAATTGAAGAAAAAGGCAGAAGGAAGCGGATTATTGGATTCAAAATCTCTTCAAATCTCCAACTGAAGATGAAGAGGATGTTTACATTAATTTTACCACTATCGACTAACAATACTTTATACAATTGACAACACGTATATTGAAAATATACATATTTTTACCATTTCCAAACAATTAGATTTTTAGCTAAACATTATATGTACATTTTTGTATTATCTAACTTATATTATATAATATTTTATTATACAACTTATGAATATGTTTTCTATAGAAATATGTTATTAATGTTTATAAATTAAGAATTTGTATACACTAATTGCAATTAGTGAAGTTTTAAAGTCTTCAATTTGAAACATGATTATCAAACAGTCCGATTACCCGAGGTATTCCTGTATACATTTATATAAAAGTATAGATTTCAGTTGGGTAATAGATGTGAATACGATATCCTTTCCGAAATTAATCTTAATCATATTTGACAGAGGAATGGATGGATGGATTCATCCATCCCCACGCTGCGAAATAGGATTATCTCTTTAGCGCGCGCGTGTGTTGTTGTTGTTGTGTTTTCCTTTCGATTATTATTATTCGACCTCCACTATTTTTTTTTTTTCAATAATCTGGGATTTCTGTCGAACACAATGGACGGATCTTGTAATATATTCCGTTTAAAAGCAATTTTCTACCAAAATTACCCCATTTTATGGGATTATAAGCGCATTCATTCATTCACCTCTCCCGGCACCGACGACCATTCATGAATCTCTGCCGTCTGCACAACACACACACACAGTTTCTATTGTGTTACGTCGATGCCGCCGCCGCTGCTGCTGCTGCCCTGACAAAAGGTAAAAATTAAATATAATAATGTACGATACTCACCTTTTCATGCCATGTTATCTCTCGCCAACAGAAACACGAAGAAAAGAGAGTAAAAGAGGACGAGAAAACGTAATAATACGTGAAATGAAAAAAAAAAATAGAGGAAAAAGTGAGCAACGATTTGATTTTATGTAATATTTAGTATACTAACTTTATTGTCAAATAAAAATACAATTAACATAACATAATTTGATTTAAATTCACAATTAATTAAAAAATATTCATTATTTCTTTATATATTAATATCTAATTGATAATTTAACTGTTTTTCAATTAATTTAGAAGAAAATGTAAACTAAACCAAATAAAGTTACAATTATTTGTTTATACATACACAATTTAAATAAAATATATTATAATAATAAAGAAAAATCCAAAAACTATTTGATTTATTATAAAATTTATACTTTTATCTTTAGTTTGCATATTTTATGACTTAATTATTATCTGCGGTTGTTTAGTAATTAAATAATTTGTAAACACGTGATTTTTTTTTCTAAAAATTGCCATATTTCATTTATTATGTGTATAAAGTTACAATTATTATACTAGAAGATGCGTTATAGAAAACCCCTTTTGGTGTAATCATAATATTATTATATAAATTTATCAATACGAAATTGTAAAAATGTTCAAATAATTGTAAATTAATTATAAAGAAATGAATTACTTTACAATTATAAGAGTAAATTTCATTGGAAAGATCATAATTTTACATTTATTATAAATATTTGATGATCTAATTAGTAGGTGTGGTAATTGCTAAATAAAAAGTGAACAAGTTAAAGTTAAAAATTAAATTAAAATTCGCCATTTTGCAGTCACTTACATTATTTGTAATAAGTAACATAACCTATAAGTAATAATAATAACTTTATATTGAAATTAACTGAAATAGTAGACAAATTCAGATCTAATCGTAGAATTTATAAAAAGTTTGACTATTTCCAACTAATTATTTAAAAAGAAAAATCTCATTAAATTTACATAAAAACTAAAAAAAACTTACAAATATCTATTTACGTTTTATTAGTTATGATTTAAGCTATAATATGAAAATTTATTTATTCATGAAATAATTACACGATTTTCAGCAGCAACATATTTTATTATATAAAAATTTACTTTAATTTACAGATATTCCTCATGTAAGTATGAATTTTAGAATTTTTCAGTACACTTTAAATTTCAATTATCATTAACTGATAATGATTTTAATTATTAAAATAAATGTGTAAAAAAAATAATATAAGAAAATATATTTTTAAAACAATGATTCAGACCAAATTATAAACCTCACAAAAATAAATTTATACTCATTTTGTTCTCTATAATTTCAGCTTTAATATGAGTATTTACTTATGACTGTGAGAGTTGTAGTGTTTGTAAAATTTATATAAATGTATGTAGATGATGAGATAATATGTATCAAGAGTAGATTTAAATCTAATACAGATTCTTTACAAATATGATTCAGATGTAATAATGAAATGAAAATATGTATGTTAAACGTTAAAATGAATGAGGAGGGGTAGTTTTTGGATCCGAATGCAAAGTTAATCTCTTTGCGTGATCTCCTTTGAATGCGCGATGAAAGGATTTCGAAGGAAACCGCAAATACATGCGTTATTATCATTGTAACAACAACAACTGTAGTAATTCATGCACGTACGTATCCAGTCTACGGCCGATCGATGCATTCAAAATGCGAGGCAATGAATACGATTAAAGGGTCGTCCGTCCCTTTGTAACGGCCGATGGTCGATGGTACAACCCTTTTCCTCACCATTGGTCGAATCCGGATGGGAGGGTAGCAACCCTCGTCCTCAAGAGGGGCGAAAAGAGGAGGAGTTTATCTTTGCTAACGAGACTGTATCAACTCATGTGTCTGCTGTTATTATTATTATTATTACACATAGTTTTTTTTTGTTCATTCCCTCTCGAAGTTTGCTGAGGATACAATGCGAAAGGATAGGGCACGAATGAATGCACAGGGCATAAAACGCCGTTTATTTTGGGTTCCTGGGACAATGAGAGCCCAGTTCATTCGTTCCCATTGTCGATCCTCCTATGTACATCCCAATAACACACTCCACTTAGTTTGTTAGTTTTCTATATTCTTTCTTTCTTTCATTCACTAATTTTTATTAACTTGTGCGAGCGTGATGTGATTCGCTCGTATGCAAATGGCATTAAATGGAAATTATTGAGAAATTTGTATGAATTAATAGAAAATATAGATATTACAATATTAAATTGAAAGCGAATGGAAACAGAAGTGAATATATGAAAAAAGAAGAAAATCCGCTTTGTTTTTAACTGTTTAATTAAATTGTATGAAGTAATTCGTTTGTAAGTAAATTGTGTAAAATTCGATCATTTTGGAAATTAAAGTAATTCGAAT